ATTCTGTGTGCTTGAGATAGTTAGAGATCGTTCCCGGCGCCAGAATAGCAGTTTTCATTTTTCCCCAATGACTTATAATGGTGAGGTCACGAAAATGACCTGACCTCATATGACCTTTAGGAAAAATCCGAGATATACAAGTCGTGAGACTCGTAATGAATACTAGATCCTGCAAGTTTCATTTCCCTGTGAAAGCTCCTCTGGCAGTGAGGGCGTTGCGAAGTTGCGACATCTGAAGACCGTGCAGAGGTTCACTTATGACGTCACAGGTCAGTGACCCGACCTGACCCGAAAATACGGTTGGTGTCAAAAGATCTGGCTTGAATTAAAGGTCAGATATGCAAAGTTTCAGCTCTCATCGCCAGCCTGTTCGGAGCTATCACGAAAAAACCGTGGGGGGGGGCACCCGCCCCCCCCCCTCGGCCGGCGAAGGTTAACCCGCGAGTTGCTGGGGGGGGGCGTTAAACGCCCCCACTTTTTTCGCCGGGCCATAGCATAAAAACGGCGCGCCGCAGGCGCGCCAAATTTTGGGTACCTGTAGGGAATTGATTGAAGTTTATTGTGACAAAGTTTCAAAAAAATCGGTCGGAAAATTTTTGAGATATCGAGGTTTTAGTGACGTCATGATTTTTGAATTTTCGACCAAAAACGGCGTATGTTCAAAAAATCATATAAAATCACAGAATAGACATACAGACATGCCGTAAACGCCATTAGACTGCCAATACCATGAACAATCAAATGGCTATCTTCGATTATTGATTATCGTTCCGCATTTTCCAAAATCTTCAACTGAATCTTGACAATTTCTCGTAACTACTTCACGACTATGATACATGCATTTCTTAAATTAAACTTTTTTAGCCAAACACGTACACATATGATAAAATGAATGTCACCATCGTGTTCTACGCCCCAAATTACCCATAAAACATGTGTCACGGGCTGCGAATATCAGTTTTGATTTTCGGGGATATGTGCCTACCCGGTTGACCTGACCTTGACCCTGACCTATGCTTGACTGACCCCTACATGGAGCTGACACTCTTGTAGGCCTTATACGATGGATTGTGCACCATTTTGACAGAGTTTATGACGAGAGGCGCCCATTGCGAAGTCCTGAAGTCCATGCTACTGAAAGGCCGATTTCAGGTGTTTGACCTGACCTTGACCCGACCTGTGACCTCAAAACTCAACTTTAAAGTACTCATCTGAAGCGTCTCGTCGCGCTCTTTCGTTTGCCGCCTCGTGCGTTTCGCTGCGCCTATTGGTTCTCGAGTTATCGGCTGGGGGCGTTTAACGCCCCCCCCCAGCAAACGGTGGGTGGCGAAATACCCCAGCAACTGCCGGGTTAACTCTCGCCAGACCTATTGTTTTCTACAAACACGACGGCCGAGGGGGGGGGGGAGTGTACAACCCCCTCGCCGTTTCGCCCCTGATGGAGCTAGAGCGTCGCAGAAAAAAAACGAGCGTGTGCGCCGTTACGAGACGCAGCGATTGGTACCCGACTTTAGGGTCTTAGGTCAGCTGGTGACCTGTGAGGTCAGTTCAGGTGGCCCAAGGTACGGGCTCGGTTTTTGGCAAATAACTTCGCAAAAAATGGCCGCAGAGCCGCGGTTTTGACAGCATCGTGTTTGCCTTGCTCAGGCACGTCGAATAGTATGCTTTTTGTTTGGGTGAGGTCAACTTGAGGTGTTGACCTAGGGTCACGGTAGGTAAGGTCAGAGCCTCCCAGGCCATGAACTTGGTCGAAGAAGGTCATGTCGCATGTCAATCGATTTGGCAGATCTTCCGAGTTAATTGGTGTTCTTTCCGTCTTGATAGCTCAATTTGATTAGGAGTTATTGACGAACAACTCTTATGATCCTACATGTAGTAGCGTCATCAACATGCTACTGGAGACCATGTGAAACACGACCTTTTTCGATTAGATCATGAGTGACCTTGACCTGAGGTCAAATTTGAAACTTTTTGACCCGCGCCGTGCTGGTGGCCTGTGTTATCCTTGCCGTGCTGGGGGGGGGGGGGGGAGGGTTCACGCCTCCCCTCTAACTCGGCTCCTGGGCCACTTCAAGTGACCTCACCTCATTAAAAGTTTCAATGTTTGCCATAGCTACACCGAGTGACTGATTGCTTTGAAACTTTCAGCGATTTATAAGAACAATAGTATGTACAAAATGAATATATCTCATAATTTTTGTATCGGTGACCTAAAGTCAGGTCAATTTTGCGACCTCCGCATTAGGTAGGTAAGTATAAGTCAATGGGAGAAAATTAAAAGGTGCCTCTTTTGGACGGAAGCCGTTACAAGCACTCTCAAACAATGAATTATAAGTAACTTGGACACACTGAACATGAAAATGGTACCCGTGACCCTTGTTTATGCCCCTGAGGTCATCTCAGGTCACGAATGGTATCTAACAGTTTTTCGCAAATAACTTTTAATAGAGGCACACTAGTGCGATGAAAACGCCTTGGATGTATTCGGCTCGACGATTCGGATCGGCTGATATGCCACACGACCGTTTTGGGTCAGGTCATGACCTTGACCTGAGGTCAACTTTTTAAGTTGACCTTTAACCCGCGCCCCGCTGGGCTATTCAGCCATACGCGCCCTGCTGGGGGGGGGGGGGGGGCAGATTCTGCTCTCCTGTCTAACTTCCGAACCGATGGTCGTAGAAAGACGGGGAAAACGGCAATCGAAAGCTCTCAACAAGGCGGATCTTAAGAGCCCAAATTTTTTTGCTTAAGTAGGTCAGAGGTCAGGTCAAAGTCAGGTCAAGGGTACAAAATGCAAGTTTCTACAGTATCGGCCTTGCACCGTAGTTGCCGAAGAATGGACTGAGACTGATTGCCCAAAACGTGTTCTTAGACTACCAAGACAATATTCGTTGCACACAATGTCATTCAAAGGTCAAGGTCAAGGTCAGGTCAGGTCAGGTCAGGTCACCAAAAACAAAATATAGAAAAGGGCATGTGCGACACATGTTTTATGGGTCATTTTACTCATGGAATTCAATAGGCACACTCAATAAGTGATATGGACCACCTCTGGATGAAATTCAGATCGAGGTCAGGTCAAGGTCAGGTCAAGTGAGGTCAAATTTTGAAGTTGGTTGTTAAGGCCTAAAAAGGTGTCTATCCGATGCAGTTTTTCACGGCGAATCGAATGGTGCTATTCTTATTTCCGTGCGAGGTCTAGAACTTCCAAAAAATCATTTTTCAAAATTTTTGTGTGTCGTGACGTCATAAAATTTTGAATAACTCCCACATTTTTGAACCGATTCCTCTAAAAATTGGTATGTAGGTGCACATAGACCACTTCTTTGACATATATTCCGGTTTTTTCGATAAACTCAAAATTTTGGATTTTATAAATATTTTCCCAAAAAAGTCAGTTTTTTGGAAAAATTTTGGCCAAAATCCAAAATTTTCAAAAAACCGAGATAGCCATTTGATAGACAAAGTAGAATCACGTATAACCTTTTTTGTTACGTCTTGTTTCCTTTAAAAATGAAGAAGTTAGCGGCGTTTGAAATTTTGCCGTTTTTTAGGCGAAAATGGCGAACATGACGTCACTAAAACGTCAATTTCTCAAAAATTTTCCGACGGATTTCGCTCAAATTTTCAGGGAAAGTGTCAAATTGATGTATGATAAGGTACTGAAAGTTTGACGTCGCTGGCGTAACGCGTTTAGAAGTTATTGGCGAAAAGCGGGAGGGGGGCAGATTCTGCCCCCCCCCCCCCAGCGGGGCGCGGGTTAAAGGTCAAATTATAGTTCATTCAATTATAGTTCATTCATTCGTCAAATTCGCTTGAGTCAAAAGTTATTGCAGTCAAACTTTTTCCGAAAAAATCGGTTATTTGGGCAGTTTTTCCAACGCTAAGGGCATAACTCAGAAAGACCGTTAATAGGGCTATCGAATGCGCGTTTCCGCGGCGCTGTAGCTCTATGGGTTCCCGAGTTATGCATTGGCTTCTTGGAAATTGTCCACATTCGACCTGAAAATCGACGAAATTTTGCCTTCAATGACCTCTGGTGACCTGACCTTTGACCTGAACAAAAAAGTGACCAAAGCGTTTTCGCTATCATTTTGGGTGTCTTTCGAACGCCGCCTTCCGCGTAAGTCGCTACGTGGCCCAGGGGCGAGTTAGAAGGGGGTATTCAAACACTCCCCACCCCTCGGCCCTCAGCAGGGCGTGGAAATACAGGTACCCCAGCGGGGCGCGGATTATAATGGAGAGGTCGCAAAATTGACCTGACCTTAAACGAACAGGTGTAACCAAAAACAACGGTGGCGGGCAATTCGCCAAAACCTGGGGGGGGGGGGCGTAAAACGCACAGCACTCGCGGGTTAAGGTCAAAATGTAATTTACTCAAAACGTTTACACGAGAGGAAGACAATGCTGGTAAAAGTACACTCTTGCAAGTTTTGAGAGAAAAGATGGTTTAGAAAACCGTTCCAGCAAAAAACGTCTATTTTGGCCGTTTTTGCCCTCCGCGGGACACTAAATCGTTGACCTTAGACCATGTCTGAGAGCATGTTCAGAAAAAGTGTTAGGACCTTTAATGCTATCAAATGTGTTTTTTTTTCCGCCGCGCTGTAGCGTTTCCTATTTCCGAGCTATGCGCCGGTTTGTCGAAAAATGTCAAAATATTCAAAATAGGCGAAATTTAGCCCTTGACAACCTCTGGTGACCTGGGCGGTGTTTCACCGACGCTGCCAGCGCATCTCGTCACACTGCTGACGCCACACCTGTGGTAGTGTTGGAGCAGTGGGCTCCGTGTGTGACGTCAGCTCGCGAGATGCGCTGGCAGCGTGCTGGCAGCGTCCGTGAAGCACCGCCCTGACCTTTAACCTCACCTAAAAATTACAAGCAGGCACCAATATGTTATATGAGTTTAATACCACTTCAGGTAATGAATATCAGTTGAAATATTAAACGACGTCACATCCATATTCTGCACGAGGAACCATTCCTCTAAAGAAAAAGGGAAGTGAAACCCCACGAGGGTTTATTGGGCAGGCATGAATTTGTACGATATCATACAGCAAGTTAGCAATCTCAACATATAGATGGCAGCACAACCGCCGTACATATCACGACACAAACAGCGGGCATGAAGTGAGTACGGTGGTGACCAGCCACACATTTGGCAACTCGATATTTCGTACGGGGACCCGCAGTTGCTACTGTACAGCGACCCTGAGTAAATTGTCCCAGCACACTCACAGGGAACAAAAATAAGCTGTCAGAGGGCACGCACAGAAAATTTCAGCTGCTCTTACACAGGGACCGGCAGTCGGATATCAATGTTATCGGTTGTTACTGGACAGGACAGACGGCTAGAGTTGGGGTTCGTGTACAGTAGCAACTGCGGGTCCCCGTACACTCATCACAACAAAATAAAATATCGCACGCGAGAAACATCGCATAGGCACTTGAGCTCACATGAATATAACATCGAACGAGCGTCACACAAGGCACATGTCACGACGGCAGCTAGCACTCTGCCGGCGGGTGGCCCGTCTGGGTGAGACCCTTCTGGCCAGCCGCCTTCTGTTTGGCCCAGGCCAGTTTGGCAGGCCGCCGCAGTGTCCTGGCCCGGTCGGCCTCGTCCTTGCCACCCAGCACCTGGTCCATGTACTCGGCTATCTGATCCGTTTGGTGGCGCGTGCTCACAGAGATCCCCTGCGACTCGGGCTCGAAGCACGGGTTAAACACGCCGAACGCGTCGCCGCCGGCGCCGGCCGCCAGCAGGTGCTCCTTGCTGGCCACGCGGCTGAGCGCGGCCGCGTCGCGGTGCACCTCGGCGGCCGCGTAGAAGGAGAGCTCGCCGCCGCGCGGCTGCGACGGCGAGTAGCTCGAGTAGTTGGAGTCGGTCATGGAGCGGCCGTCGCCGTCGTCCCGCCGCGAGAGGTCGCTGCTGCCCGACGGTGACGACTTGCAGCTGCCGGCCGCCAGCTGCTCGAGCAGCGAGCCCTGGTGCGGGTGCGGCCCCGACCACGGCTTGGGACCGACGCGCTTCGGCGGCACCGGCGGCGCCTTCGGTTTGAAGTCGGGCTTGGTGGGGCCGGCGGCCACACTGTCGCCCGACACGGACAGCTTGTCGAAGCCACCGAACTCGTCCGAGGCGCCGCCGGCGGCGTCCACGTCCACTCCGCGCTCGTGCGCCGACATGAGCAGCTTAGAGAGCGGCGGCGCCAGGCCCAGGCCGATGCTGCGCTCGTGGTAGACGTCCGTGATGGGTAGTTCTCGCAGACGGCTCATCTGGGTGGCGATGATGTGGTCCTGAATGCTCTTGTGGCCGAGGCCCTTTCCTGCGCCGCCCAGCTCGTCGGCGCCGCGCATCAGGTCGTCGACGGGACCGGCGGCCGGCCGCTGCTGCCGCCCGCCGGCCAGCTGCCGCTCGTTGGAGCGGTCCCGCCGAGCGCGCTGCGTCGCCGTCGGCGCAGGAGCGGCGGCGCCGGCGGCCGCGGGGGCAGCGCTGGAGGGCGCCGGCCTCCGCAGCTCAGTACGCACGCTCAGCTTGTCCAGCTGCCCACCGACGGCCGCGTGGTTCAGCTTGAGCGTGGTGGACGCGCCGGCCGTCTTGTAGACGCTGCGCACGGGCCGCACGGTGCCGGGCGCGCGCCGTGGGCCCAGGTCTGAGTCGGAGCTCTGCGACTCGAACCCGGAGCTGGCGTGCGAGCCCGTCTTCTGGAGCAGCCGGGCGCCGCGGTTCAGGCCGGCGCTGACGTCGGCCACAGCGCGGTTGAGGAGGGGCGGCGGCGGCGGCGCGGCCGGCGCCGGCGCGGCGACCGTCTGCCGCCGGGTGGTGGCCTGTCCGTTCTCCCAGTCAGCCATACTGCTGGCGCTGCTGGAACTGTCCGGCCGCCGCTCGCCGCTGTACAGCGAGCGGATCTTGTTCTGGTGGCTCAGCGTCAGACTGAGCCGCGGGCTCGGCTGCGGCGAGCCCGTCTCGGCCGGGCTGGGGTGTTGGCTCCGCACGCTCCGCAGCCCCTTCTGCACGGCGTCCACCGGGCTGGGGGTGAATGCCGCGTCACTCTCGCGCCCCTTGGGGTGCGGCGGGTGGTCGAGGGTGCTACTGCGCGCGCCGTCTGGCTCGCCGCGGCGGCGCACGTAGCTGCTGAAGGCGCCCGAGCCGAGCACGAGCGGTCGCTGCGGCGCCGGGCCGAATGGGGACGGGTCGGCGGCCGGCGGTGGCGGCAGCTCGTCGTCGCTCTCCTCGTCACTTGTGTCGGCAGACGACGAGAACTCAATCTCCAGACTCTTCGGTGCCTCTTGCGTGTCTGTAGAGAAATAAACAGAGTCAAGTGCTAAATCAGGCCGACTGTTTTACACTGGTGACATTATGATAAACTATATCTGGTAAACCACGGTCAAGTTGTGCCGAGTATCGCCAGTGCAATTTCGATACCGGCATGAGCTCCGACCTTGAGACACCCATATGCCACCAGTCAGCGAATGGCATGCTAATCGCATATTCCACGCCTCAGTTGAATGACAATGGACACGAACAACCCTTGTTCGCTGCTTTGCGAGAACAGCTCAAAAGTCAAAATACGAATGCTTGCAGTGCCCTGGCCAGGTATAATGTTACACAAAGCAATTCAGGAGCATTGGCAACTGGCCTACACAAAGACAAAGAACCACGATTCCATGGATCTGATTTGATACATCGAATCGCTAGCCACCAAAATTGGGAAAACAGAGCAAAACAACAAGCTGATTCTTTATACTAGCGGAAAAATAGCAAAATAGGCGTATCTTCGTAAAGTCCAACATAAGTTACAAGTGTCATTTCAACCACGATGATAAATTGACTTTTACCACTGAAATGTGGACACGACATGTTACCAACATTGTTTTGCACTACTGCAAAGATGTTTCCTTATCGATGCAGTCACGTGATTCCTGAGTCATGCACGTGCTATTGCCATGCATTATTCAGACGCTTACCAAATAAAGCTAGCAGGGCCTGTAGGGCGAACTGGATATGGCGCTTGTTGGCATTCTTGCCGGTCCTGAGGTGGACTTCGTCTCTTCCGACTTCCATTAAATCAAACCCTGTAGAAGTACATTGTTGTTAGTAACAAGACCATGCGTTTATGGCGGTAATTCCGACTTTGTTTCTATAGCATGGCCTACTTAATCACGAATCTTTGATGAGCGTCGGCGGCAGCGCCGCATGCAATAAGTCGTCAGGTACAGGGAAAATACAGTACACCGAAACAGGTGCCTGGCTGGTCGCCCAGTATTCCTCGATAATTGAATAACAATGCAGCACAATGTACGACAGGAATCAGACATAGTGTTGTCAATTGAACCACATGCCAGACATTCAATGGCTTTGATTCTTTGCGAAAGTGTGCTGACAGTGCACACTCCATATACTCGAGACTGAGAGACGAATGCCGCTGTGGGCCTGTGTCGCCTACTCACCGAGCGAGGCGAGCAGCTCGTGGCAGCCGCTGACCCTCCACAGCCGGACGCTGACGGTGGTCTCGATGGTGTCCGAGTCGGTGTCTGTGGCGGCGGCCGGCTGGCCGAGCAGGCCGCGGATCACGCCGATCACCTCCTCGGCCTGGTCGCGGTGCGCCAGCAGCTTACACAGCGCCGACAGAGAGGCGGGCGACAGGCCGAGCAGCGCCTGCAGACTGGCCGAGCACTGGGTCAGCCGCTGGCCCGGGTCCGACTGCGGGAAAAACACAGAGCTCGGGATCCCGTTGGCGGCCGGCTCGAACCGGAAGCCCACCGAGATGAGCAGCTCCTTCCAGCCGCTCAGACCGTTCACCTTGCTCTCGATCGACTTCTGGGTGGTGTACATGGCGTTCTTGTGGCCGCGGTGGATGCGCTGCAGAGACTTCTCCATGAGGTGGAGTGTGACGCGCAGCGCGTCACGGCACTTGTCCGGCTGCTGCAGCAGCTCGCACAGCGCCTGCCCCATCAGCGCCACCTTGTTGGTGAGCTTGACGTCCGTGCCCACCAGCAGGTAGCCCGCCCAGTTGGCCGGGTGCGCGAAGTGCTTCGTGTTCTGCACAGTCTGCATGGCGTCGTTAAGCGCGCGACTGACTCGGGCCCCCTGAAAAAGGTGAAAAGGTCAGAGACGTCTCAATGGCGAACTGACACGCAACCGAGTAAAACAAAGGACAATTAGCATACTGTGGCAAATGTCCTAATTTCATTGTTTCAGAACGCTATACCACAACATTCACAATGTTTCGTACTACAATGAACGCCAGACAACAAAAACGTAAGCGTGGCTCAATATGCCACTCAATAAGGCAATAAGCATGGCTTCACGAAAATACTTGGGTTACGAGCCACGTTTGTACCGTAGTGTAACTAACCTGGAGCAGCGATGAGTAGAACGTGCGGTAGAGGATCTTGACGGCAGTGTCTGTGACCGGCCACAGCGAGACGAGCACGCACTGAGCCCCGGCGGCGAGCAGCGCGCGCGTCAGACCCACCACGCCGTCCGAGCTGGCGCGGCCGTGGTGGTCGCGCGTGTGGCACGAGCTCACCACCACCAGTTTTGCGGTCAGCTTCAGGCTGAGGATGTCGGCGGCGGTGAGCAGGAACTCGGAGAGCGGCGGTAGGTCGCTGGTGGAGGCCGCCTCCGACTGGTCGTCCTCCTGCAGCGAGTCCGCCTGAGAGCCATGCAGCGACGGCGGCCGCTTCGAGTGGCGCGCGTCCACGAACTCGCCGGGCGACAGCACCACCGCCGACAGCTTCCACGACACGTGCGTGGCGAAGTGGATGCACTCCATCTGGGCCAGCTGCTGGAGGAGCGCCTCCTTGGAGGCGGCCGCGCCCGTCACCGGCTCCGTCTGCAGCATCTCGGCCACGATGTTGGCCTCCTGTTCGGCGTACGGGATGTCGGTCCAGCCCCACTGCTCACTGAGCGCCGACGGCAGGCGCGGGTTGCCCACCACCAGCGCCGAGGTGTGCTCGCCGCTCGTCTTGGCGGCGCGCGACGAGCGCCCGTTGGTACGCAGCGTGCTGATGGAAGGTACCAGGATCAGGTTGTAGCGCTCGCAGAGGAACTCACTGCTGTCGGGACCCTTCAGTACCGGGAACGGCACCAGGTACAGGTCACCCTCGAGCACCAGCATCAGGTCGCGCGGGTAAGCGCTGGACGGCAGGTGCTCCTCCATGGGCGCGATCAGCAGCTCGTACAGAGAGCGCAGACATTGCGGGCCCTGCCAGGCGGCGCGACGCGAGCGGACCGATCCAGCGCGACTCTGGGAGCCGCTGGCCATCGAGCCCGTCACGCTGCCCAGGCTGCACGAGAAGGCGCTGAACATGCTGCTCAGGCTGTAGTTGGACGAGTTGCACACGTGGTTGCGGTTGACCATGCGCAGAAAGCCGGTCTTGTCGCCCTCCTGGTTGAGCCGGTCGCCGAGCTCCTCCAGGTGCTGCTGCCACATGTCTCCCGCGTCGGTGTCTTCCGATCTCGCCATGCCGGCCGTCTGCAGCTCAACGCCCAGCGCCTCGCGCACCGACCGGATGTAGGACTCGAGCAGCGTGCCAGAGGTGCCCGAGCTGTCCGCAGACGTGCCGCCGTCGTCACGCTGCGCCTCAGTCTCACTGACGTTGATCTGGTGGAACTTGACGATACCGCGGCCGGGCACGATGAGCCAGCTGTAGAGGAAGCCGGCCGCCAGACTGTAGTAGAGGACGGTGGCCTTCTGGCGGCCGACCGCCTCCACGATCTGCTCCACAGAGGTGGGCGTGTTGTCGTCGACGCGCGTGAAGCGGCTGCTGCTGAAGCCGCTGTTTGAGCGCTCCAGTAGCAGATCGGCGAAGGCCCGCGTCCGACTTCGCTCGGCAACCACCAGCGCCTCGTCGTGACAGCCCAGGGAGACCAGTACTCGCTGCGAAAAACGATTAGGGACATCGTCAAACACCGTTGTAAAAGTCGTGCGCTGGCTGGCATGTGTCTGTGTTATCAGGAAGATATGTAACTCAAGGTTGCAATGCGGACATCAAGAGGCTGAGTCGATAGCATGTTGATTGTTCATGATGTTCGCTAGGATTACCTTCTCATATCCTTAGAGACAAACGAGATATTCTTACGAGATCGCGGATTGTTTACCCACCTGGAGTGCCTGGAAGGCGGCCGTCTGGAGATCGTACAGCCCCAGTCGGTGCTGGCTGGTGCCGCGAGCCTCGCGGCGCACACCCTCCAGCAGGAAGGCGGCCCGCTCCAGCTGGGTCTGCGCGCCAGACAGGTCGCCGTGGCCCCAGAGCGCCAGGCCGAGCCGGTGTCGCAGGCGAGCCTCCTCCTCACGCCGGCTCAGCTGCTCGGCGATCTGCAGACCCTGCTGCAGGTAGGCGATCGCCTGCGTGGTGTTACCCAGAGCGTGGTGGATGCGGCCCAGGCTGGCGTAGGCCGCCGTCTTGGCCGCCTTGTCGTTAATCTGGGCGGCTACGCTCAGCTGCTGCTCCAGGTGGGTGACGGCCTGCTCGAAACTGCCGAGCGATTCGTGCGCGGCGCCCAGGTTACCGTGCGCCCGCGCCTGACCGGCCGCGTGTCCCGAACGTCCCGAGATGGCCGCGTCCAGCTGGTGGAACTCGAGCGCCGCCTGGAAGTCGCCCATCTGCTGGTGGACGCAGCCCAAACCGCTGGCGGCCTCGGCCTCCATGACGGCGTCCTCCAGCTCTCTGAGAAGCGGCGAGCGGGGTAGAAAAGCTCAGCACAGAGTTGGGGCGCGCAGAGGGGCGGGCACTTTTACTGCTGAAATGAATATGGTTTTCTGCATTTTCAAACAATCCATAAACTTCCAAACAATGTTTCATAAGTGTATAAGCAGACATGCCATTACCCACGTTTAATGCAAATTATCATAGTTCACCCCAACATACAATGAATATGTGCATGTCCCGTACACAAATACCGCAGTTAACCCTCCCGACCCGTCTGCTCACCTGGCGATGTTGAGCTGATGATCGAGACACGAGATGGCCTGCTCGAAGTTACCCAGTTTGCCGTGGATGTCCCCAAGCTCTCCGTAAGCGGACGCCTTGGCCTGCGGGTTGTGCACCTCGTGCGAGACGACTAGTCGCTTCTCGTAGCAGACCAGCGCCTGCTGGAGGTTGCCGAGGCTCTTGTGACTGCCGCCCAGACCACGGTACGCCCGCTCCTGGTCCTTGGTCGACTTCAGCTTCAGCGCGATGCTGAGGAACTGCTCGTGGCACTTGATGGCCTCCTCGTAGTCGCCGATGGCGTCGTAGCAGTCGCCCAGGTTTCCGAAGGAGCGCGCCTTGTCCATGAGGGCGGCGCCCGTGGGGATCTGCTCCAGGGTGGCCAGCTGCTGCTCAAAGTAGCCGATGGCGTCCTCGAAGTGGGACATGTTGAGTCGCGCGATACCCAGGTTACCGAACGCCTGGGCCTCCATAATGGCGTCCCGGAGATCCTTCGCCCTGTCAGAGGACATCATATTATGCAATCAGTCTGGGTGTCTTTTTAAGAATTAGGCATACCCACCTCCTACATGTAGTGTTCACTATAAAACGACATTGCTCAATGCCTTTATACCAAGCCATGTTGCGCTCACTTAGGCATGCAATCACTTTTGTTCGAGCGGAATCTATAGTCATAAGTAACAAAGTTCCCTGTTGTCGGGAGCGACACGGGGCCATTGAAGACAACATGCATTGGCAGCTCCATTGATCTAATGTACCCCACTGACAGTCGCAGATGTCTGCCGGCTGTGCCGCCGGCAGTCACATACCTGTCCAGCTGCTCCTCGTAGCACTTGATGGCGTTTGTGTAGTTGGCCAGCGACATGTGCACGGCGCCCAGGTGTCCGTGCGCCTTGCACTCGCCGCGAAGGTCGGCCATCTCCTGGCGAATCGTCAGCTCCTGCGACAGAGGAAGGGAGCAGTAAGGGTACTGTCACAGGGCTGAGCAGGGGAGGAGGGTTACGGCCATCTCCTGGCGAATAGTCAGCTACTGTGACAGAAGGATGGGAGCAGTCAGGGTACTGTCACAGGGCTGAGCAGGGGAGGAGGGTTACGGCCATCTCCTGGCGACTCGTCAGCTCCTGCGACAGAAGGATGAAACAGTTAGGGTACTGTCACAGGACTAGGGTCACGACAGGTCGGGCGTCTCCTGGCAAATGACTAGCTCCTGCGGACGAGGCCGAGGCAGCCTGGTCACGGCACTGTTGGGTAGGGTGAGATGACACTGGCAGTCGCCTTTTAGACGGTAATGGAGCCGTCGGAGCACTGTCACAGGGCGGGGGGGGGGGGAGTACACCACAATCCATGAGTGTTCTGGTTTCGTTAACCGCATGCATAAAAAGCTCGGGAAGCCCAAACTGGCTGGGTTAATACTAATCTGAGCAATCAGGACAAGCCGCGAAAACGTTAGCTTCTGGAAATGAGGTTAACGATATTTTTCAATGCATCGATCCTGCGGTTTGCGTGTGTGACATCCTTGAACGGGCCGCCATTTCCTACTGAGCTCATTGCTGACATGTACTCGAGCTCAAGGCTAAGGATATCGCCCGATCTGACGCACAACGTGGGCTGCTTGGCGCTTCTGAGAACCGTACCGTCAACGCACAACTATATCATCTTCGCACCCATTTACCCGACATATTTTCCCGGAAAATCAACAGAAGAAACGATGAAATATGGCCCGCTCCACAACATCAATTACACTTCGAGGAACAAAAGGCGAGGGTTAAACTGTAAATATATCGCACTTTTTTAGACGCTTCGCTACATGTCCTGATGTGAAAATCCCCTTGCACCTTACACTATGTTAAGTGCATATATGAAGTCGAGGCCTTTCCGAGTTTCTCGGTACCGAAAGGCATCTTTTCCATTAGTCACACTTTCATGCCCAATGGTGCCGCAAAAAGTGTTTAAAATACCAACACCCGTCTGACTGGACTCCAATCGAGCTGCCAACTGCTTGCGGAATCACATCGCTAACTAGTCCCTGGCCGGAGACGGCTGTGCACTGTGCAGCCCCACCTGGTCATCGGCATATCCCAAGCTAGGCATTACAGAGGAGCAACGACAAAGGGAACGACAAGAGCTTCTCTATGAACCTAACCTTGGCTCTACATGGGTACCTAATAACTCATCATGTTTATATTAAAAAGGACCCTCAAGTGATAGCCAGGTGGTCATACGTGACTCTCTCTTGCACGACTCCGTGTGACTGAATGCCTCCGATTTTTCTTAAAATATGTTTGCAAATTGCTACAGCATCGGGAACACAAAGGGCACAGTATCCATTCCATAATGCCTCCAGCCTGTTTCTGCAGCTGTCTGGCCGGTCGGAGCGGTGTCGAGCCTTCCACAGTGCAGAGAGTAGCGACACCGCGACATGCCGTCAGCGGCCGATGCGGCCAGGCTGCGGTCTGCCGCTGCAGATGAACAGAAATTCCAAACCAGCGGCTACAGCCGGGCCACCGGCGAAACCTTCGCTTAGTCGGAGACGGTATTTTTACACTAGCAGAACATTCCACCAATACCTTGTTCTTGTGTCGTCACATAGCAGCGGCTGCAGTATCGAGATGTCAGATTATCGCCGATAAGACGCCGTCCAGATGCTGGGGTTCACCCGGGCCCGCCGTCCGTCCGGCCGTCCGTCCGGCCGTATCGGGCGATGACGTCATCCAACTGGCATGGCCGCCGCCGCCTCACCGCCCCAGCCCGAGCGGCGCGAGCGTCACGGCATAGACAGAACCGCCTCACAACACCCCTGCAGAGCCCCATTCGAACGGTGTCGCGCTGCATGTTTCAACCCCACGCCAGTTTAAATTTCACAGGCACCAGCTTCAGCCATCATTTCAAACCTCTTGAGTGCTGCGTCGTTTTCGCGGAAGCACTCTGCCATCGTTTCGGCTCGGTCTATTTGCGTCATTTGTTCGCGGCGTTTACGGGGCGGCAGCTCGGTGGCAGTGGACCGGTGTCCGGTGCGTGACCGAGTGCGGTCGGTCAGTGGAGCACCAGAGGTCCACGGTCCGCCCTGCTGACGGCTTTGTTAGCAGGCGCGGACGGACGGACGGACGAGCAGACGGACAGACAAACGGAAGGACGGGCAGGTGGACAGGACAGACGGACTGACTGACGGGCGGACGGACTGACAGAGGGACAGACGGACAGACAGGCACGGTGCTGGCGCCAGTTCGACCGACTGGTAGAGCGAGAAACGTATCGGGCACCGCTTCGACAGACAGACTGACTGACAGACTGTCACACAGACCAAGACCGACCGCCCGACAGACTGACAGACAGACAGACAGACGGATCGGGCGCCGGCTCGACAGACTGACTGACAGAGTGTCACAGTGCCGCCGCAGCACCGCCGGCCAACCGGCAAAACCAGCCCATGTCGGGCTCCAATGGCGTGGAAAAATACTGCAGCGAATCGTGCTGGGCGCCCATCGGCTGCATACATTACCCACCGGGCCACTTTGGTTTCAGGCGGGCCGCTGCAGCGACTGTTCGCATTCCGCCGACTCCTGCTTCGTCATGGTTTCGTAATCCTGATGAAGCAGCCGCCTTGTGATGCATTTTTGCAGCTCTCCACCGTTCGCTTCAATAAAGAATGTCCGGCGGTTGACGTGCGATGCGTCACTGCATCACTTGGGCTCATGTTGGTGTTTCGGGCGATACCGCTTTATCTGTAGTTATCGAGGTGTCGTGTTAGTTTTATGCCAGCGTCGCAGTCACCGGCCGCCCCACGACATTCCGCTACGGGGATATCTTTCTATCGCACACTGCAGTCTCCGACGCGAGGCCCTCTGTTGTGTGGCGTTGCAGTCGCCGTGGCCAATTCGCTGAAACCCCAGCCGGGTCGGGGTTCGACACGAGTATCCAGTTCAGGAGTCGGCCAGTGCAGGCTGCCCGTTGTTCTAGTTACCGCTCTGGCCTGTCATTACGGGGTAACTCGCCAGCGCCGCCGCCCCGGCCGCGCTGCAGCAGAGCGGTCGGTCGGTCGGTCGGCCGCCTCCCGGTCCGCTCTGTAATTGCGCGGCAGCTCAGCAGCGCTGGATCCGTGGGCCGGCGATTTCTCACCTCTCTGCCGCTCTGCCGGCGGCGGCCGCGCTCAGTCCCGCTCTCTCCAGGTACTCTCGGGTCGAAGAGACCGCTCTGAGGAGGTGGATAATAGGGCTTTCGAGCCCCCTTGCCTTCCTAGACACCCCCTCCGAACAGAGCCTTCTTATGGTCTTCACAACAGCCCGAGTCCATGCTCAGCCTCGTAAAGCTCAGATCTGGCTACCTGAGATCATCAGATTATCACGAAATCTGGCACGGAATCTAATCCGCTAACAATGACCAAGTCCACGGGGACGGAGGTACGACTGCATTCCGATCTAAAACGTTACACGGAACGGATGTGTGTCTAAACGTGGCGACACCTTAAACCAACATTCTAAAGCTTCACTGCAACGACGTGCTACATGACTTCGCAATTTACGAACAAAACTCCAGCTCGCTGTAAGACGCTACAGGGTCAGTGGGGCGTAGGGAATCTTCCAACAAACAGTAGCGGCTATTTTTGGTCGGGCGTTGGAAATAGCCTTGACAAATTACTTGATCATACTCTGGAACGCTTAGGCACGCCATGACCAGCTTCAGGCGCCTGCTTCGGTTAACTGGCGCGTTTCGCAAGCATCTGAGCTCCAATGCCGCGGCCCTGCTGTGCATGGTCAGCCGCGGCGGAGCAGCCTCCCGGTGGCGGATTGCACAACTTTGTTTAATGAAGCTGGCGTCGGGCGCCGGCGGCGGCTGCCGGCCGCGCTGTAACGGGCCTGATACGTTTCATTATCTGCCATTATGCCGACCGGCCGGTGCTGTTAATGCCATTAGCCGGCGCTGGCGGAGGGCGGCCCGTCTCGGCGCGTCCGGCGGACGCGGAGGGGAGACGGCGCTCGGGGCGCGTACGCTGCCATTCAGTGCCCACCGGCCGGCAACCATTCATCAGCGTGCGTCGGCAGTTCCGGCGGCTCCGTCCCCGGCTGCAGGAGTCTGCACGCCGGCCGTAGACTGGCACTAGGCCCTAGATCCGGTGACACGTGAGAGCACAGCGCCCCTCTGCCCTCCACCGCGGCGGGCCCGCCTGTCACGCAGCCCGGGCGCTCATAAGCCGTCCCACCACGCCGCGGTGAGCCACCGCAGCTCGGCCCGGGCCGGCCGCAGCCGCCGTAGAGCTGCAGCCCGCCCCGCGGCGCCCCGAATACTAATTAGCCGACCGTTCGGCGCTCGTAAGCGTCGACAAACACCGTCGGAAAACACACGCACGCAAGATCAACAGGCCGATTAGCGGCGCTCAAATAGCGCCCAAGTTCAGACGCTCGTTCAGCGGGGTGAAAACGACCGACGGAGGCGTAGGTTCACAGATGATGTTGGCGGCGCGTGAGCCCTCCCAGGCGAGAGCTACGAGCTGCAGCCGCCGCTGGGAGCAGCAGCCCCAACGGCCGCATAACCTAACCTCGGCAACAAAAATGATGCGGCAACGCACAGGCGAAGCAAATGAAGCATTCAAGGTCACGCCCGCCCGCAATTTCGATAATCACCGTTGAGCGGAGGCAGCAAAAATGACGACCATCACCAGCGGTCATTATCTGGTAGCAGATTATCCCCCGAGCGCGCTGTGCAGCCGACCGGATGGGCCGATTGCTGCGCGCAGTGCGTGAACACTGATCACATTTGGCGGCGAGCCGGGCCTCCGGCGTTACGCAATCGCCAGTCAAGGCCCTCTGCAGGAACAATGCACGGCATTTACAGAGATGCAATCAGCCTATACCCAGGTGACATAATTGGCTGACAGGTGATACTACGAGGGATTAGCCGAGCATCGACAGATCGGCGGTAGCCGTGCCGAGGCGCCACAAACCCGTCCGGCGTCCGGCACCAGTTTCCTCCCCCGCCCCGCTGCCAGCCGCGCTGCCCCCCCTCCCCCCACCCCGCACACGACGCGCGCGTCACTCACCTGAGTGTGGAAGCCGAGCGCCTTGTCGAACTGGCGGAGCACGCGGTGCGCCATGCCGAGCGCGCCGTACGCGCACGCCTCCAGGGGCCGGTCGCGGCTCTGCTTGGCCGCCGCCAGCTGCTTGTGGTAGTAGGGCACCGCCTCGTCAAACTGGGCCATCTTCATCAGCGCGTCGCCCATGTTGCCCAGAGCGCGGAACGTGCCCTGCGTGTGCTTCATCATGTGCGCGATCGCTGCCGAAGGAGGACAGTTACCGTCACGTACTGCGGAAATGACAGACCGACAGCGAGCTGCAGGGCGACCGTCAGGTCGGTCAGGACGCTGCAGACGGTGCAGAATGCTAACGAGATTACCGTGAACCGAGAAAAGACATAAACCATACCAGCACAAGCGCAACGCTTGTAATATCTTTATTTTTAGTTCGATTAAACTCACCAAGCAGTTTCCATGTACCTCCCCTCAATAAATCATCTACAAATGCAAATGGCTTATAAAGTATGCGGTTCAGCGAATGCAAACATGCCAGAGGCTTCTGAAGCCAGGATCAATAACAGCTAGTGCATGCACGATTGTTGCATAGTTCGTCGTTCAAACGTCGAAGCTTCTGAAAAGTATCTCAGGTCACTTACCGTGGAAGAACTTTTGGCACTCGAGGGCCTTCTCGTAGTTTCCGAGCGCGGCGTGCGCCAGGCCCAGGTTGCAGTAGGCGCGTCCCATGCTCATCTTGTCCTGCAGGTCCTTGGCGAGTGCCAGGTCCTGGTCGTAGTAGCGCACCGCCTCGCTGTAGTTAGCCAGGCAGTAGTGGGCGTAGCCGAGGAAATGGCACGCCTTCGCCTCGCCCTCGACGTCCTGCAGCTCCTGGGAGAGCATCAGGTACTGCTCGTAGTAGGGCACGGCCAGCGCGAACTCGCCGCGCGAGCTGTGGCAGTTGCCCAGGTTGCAGAGCGCGCACGCCTCCCCGGCCGTGTCCTTGAGCTCCCTGGCGATGTTCAGGTGGCTCAGGTAGTGGAGCAGTGCCATCTCGTGCATGCCCAGCGCCTGGTAGGCCACCGCCAGATTGCCATGGGTGGACGCCTCACTGCTGCGGTCGTTCACCTCCTTGCTGATGGTCAGCTCCTGCTTGTGGTACTTGATGGCCTGCTCGTAGTAGCCCATGGAGCTGTAGGCGTTACCGATGTTGCCGTAGGCGCGGCCCATGCCGGCCCGGTCCTGCAGCAGGCGCGCGATGTTCAGGTGCGCCTGGTGCAACTTCAGCGCGGCGTCATGGTCGCCCAGCAGCTGGTACACGATGCCCAGGTTGGAGCAGGCGCGGCCCTCGGCCGTGCGGTCCTTGGTGCTGAGCGCCATGTCCAGCTGCTTCTCGTGCCACTTCTTGGCCTGCGAGTAGTCGGCCAGGCAGCGCGCCGCGTGCCCGAGGCCGGCGTAGGCGCGCGCCTCGATGGTGCGGTCGCGCAGCTGCTGGGCGATGCGCAACACTTGCTGGTGGAAGGTGATGGCCTGGTCGAAGCTGCGCCGGTAGTGGTGCGAGCTGCCCAGGTTGCTGAAGGCGCGCGCCTCCTCCACCTTGTTGCCCAACTGTTTGGAGATGCGCAGGTGCTCCATGTGACAGTCCACGGCGTTGTCGAAGTCGCCCATGGCCAGGTAGACGGCGCCCACGTTGCCAATCTCGCGCGCCTCCTGCAGCTGGTCACCCAGCTGTCGCACCAGCTGGACGCACTGTTTGTGCGAGGCCAGCGCGTTCGGGTAGTCGCTGATGGCGGTGTACACGTGGCCTGCGGACGGGAAGGGAGCGGCCGGTCACCGGGCTGCGGGGTCGGAGACGGAGGTGCGGAGTCGATCACGCAACACTCGAGTCGGTGTGCGGCTGTTCGGTGGGACACCCGCGGCGATAGCGGTGAGGTCAGGCGAGCGGCGGCCGCCGGCGGAGGCGCGGCGCGGAGGACCGGGCCGGGCCGGGCCGGGGGCGGACACGGAGCCGGTGCCGCTCCTATCGGCACCGACATCGGCCCCGACCAGCCTCCCAGACCGTGTGCGCCACAGCTTCGCACGCAAGCTGAATAATCAATAGCTCAAAATAGGACTCGTCCAACAGCCAGAAATTACCATGGACAATTATGTCATGTTTATTGGCATAATGGAGGACTATTATGATAAGTGGAAGTTGAAAATTCAGCACATCGACAATACTTAGAATTGACCTGGTTTCCCTTTTGAACACGAACTAAATTCATTCGTGTGTAACCGCAAACAATGAATATGCATATATTAGAACAAAATTGGCTTCAAGACTGGTTTCACAGTAAATGGGCGAATCCTTTCAATAGTATTTTCCGGTACGAATTCCCATTGTTCATTGGCAGTCCAGACGACATGGCATTTGAATTGCATTGCCGTGTTTCCGCCACCGTTCGATATATGTCGCGATTGGAGCGGACAATGGCGCTCCATCGACCGTTCCGTATTTAGACGGCCCGGCCACTAGCCAGCCGGATTCACAGCGGCGCGCTGCTGCATAAATCGGCAAACAGCCACATTCCTGTCACCGCGGGGAACTTTATCCGACAAAAGAAGCTAATTTCAAATTAGGAATCACTCGATTGAAAAGATAATGGAGAGCTTTACCGGAGGTAATGACCCGGCGCATCTCGACTCCGGCGCGGCTCGACGCACCAGAAGCAGCCCTCAATTAATCCGGTCTAACGGACCACGGAGAAACCCAGCAGCCCAGACGAGACCAAAAACTAAAACAAAAACGCCGCTGGCCGGCCGACGCCATCTGGTCGGCCGGCACCGCGGAGAAAAGCCGAGGAAGCCCAGCCGCGAGCTGGCTGCGAGCCACGAGTGAGCCACTCAGTTCATATCCCGGCTCAGAGAATTTGTATCGTTTGATGAGTGGTTAGTGTCGGACCACTTGAACGACTCGCAAACACTCATAGTTACGAACTGTTGCTTCTTAACCCTCGCCCGCACATGGGGGGGGGGGGGTGGTTGCCACCCCCCCAGGCAGTCTTTCTGCTCTGCACTCAACATTTTTAGAGCTAGAAGGCTGATTTTTCGTATAGCTGCTCGTCCATCCTTTCTTAATGTCCACTGAAAATTTCAAGTTTCTGTGATTTTTGGTTTCGGAGATATGACCTTGTTTTTCAGGTCATGTCATGACCCAAATGGCCAATTCTCAACATCTTGCGTTTGCCATGGGCCTTGTGAGCTTTTGACACCCTGATTTCGGCCTTTTTTGCCAGTCTTACCTCCCACCTATCATGGAACATGTTGTTCGACGATGTACAGGGGTCAAGGTCAGGGTCAAGGTCAACCTAGGTCATCTAAGATAATTGCGTTTTAGGCAAGCTGAATTTACTTTTTGTGAAGTTTTTTGACTGCATTTTTGGTAAAAGCTTCTCAGATCATGATTTCATGTGATATGGACCCAAAAACAATCGGTGCACACATCAGTATACACACAGACACACACAGACATACAAACACATATAATTGACCTTGACCTAACTTGACCTGAAATGACCTCAGCAGCAAAATTCTGGTCGGATAGTGTGACAAAGAGGTTCTAGCTGGCTTGGCACCAGAAAACAGCATCGTCATCGGTATTTGATAAGCAGCGCACTTGATATCCAACGGTGACCCAAAACAGCAACATTTTTTAGTTTGACCTGACCTGGAAGGTCAATGACTAACCTGAGAAGGTAAAACTGGGTATCATTGGATTCGTCTCTTCCCAAAGAACCTTTTTGGTCTTTACTGCTAAGCTCTATCTCCAACAGGAACGAAATGGCGCGGGGGGGGGGGGGTGGCAACCACCCCCCCCCCCATGTGCGTTCTAGGATGGGAAAATGGCATGTGCGGGCGAGGGTTAAGAGCATATCTTTTAGACATGCGTTCTCGCAGTTGCTTGGAGTGGGTAGGACCTAGGATGTTACCGTGGATCGATCGGAAGGACCTGGAGAGCCGTTGGAGGGTCAGATTGGCCGTGAGGAGCAGCCTGGGGTTGCTGGTCGAACTGACCACAGCCAGGTCAGTCTTGCCGGCAGTCGCCGCCACCGCTCCAAACTCAGCGCGGCAAAGCGGCCCGTTTTTGCCTATCCTCGCTGCTAATTTATGCCGGCAGGGCATTAGGGGCTGCCTATCAGCCATCGGGGCCGCACAGCGGCGCACACGGGCGGCGACGGCCCGGCGCCGGCGGCCGCCACCAAAAACTGGACCGTTTCCGCGCCACCGGCTAATTTCCGGCGGGACGGCGCGGCCCGCCCGCTCGGCGGGAGGGCGTGTCCCGCGCACTCGGCCTCTGCAGAGGAGAAGGAGAGGAGCTGAGCGCCGGAGAGAGGGACGGGAGTGGGATGCAAACAAGAGACGGTAGGCGGGCCGGCGAAACGGGACACCGTGGACGGGACACCACCTCCCGTGACAGGAGGCGGAGACGAGCGGTCGCGACGAAAAACACCACAAAGAAGAATGCATGCACAAATGCGCCGTAAGCCGGGATTCAGACTCTGAACACCGGGCCTCCAACTGGGGACTCTGGCCTCGGCCAGCGGGTCTCTAATGGCGCGGGCGCCGGTAGCGGCGGTACGTACCGAGACTGGTGAGTGCCGCCGCCGCCGCCTGCGTGTCCTTGCACTTCATGGCCAGCACCAGCTGGTAGCGGTGCGACGTCAGCGCCTCCTTGAAGTTCCCCTTGCTGAAGTAGGCCGAGCCGAGGTTGCCGTGCGCCCGACACTCTCCGGCAATGTCGCCCAGAGACTTGGCCACGCTCAGGTCCTGCTGCATGTAGCTGATAGCCTGCGGCACAGATCGGGGAGAGCCGGGGTTAAGCTGGGTTGGTACTGGCCGCTATAGATGCGTGACACCTCCCTAATACAAACAGTATGTTGAGGCAAATAGGGCACTATTTACTTTAGTACTCCTTTAACAAGACTGGGACGATCACGAGCTATAGCAATTCCAAGTGAAAGTGAAGGGACATTATTAACTGACTCTATTTGGTGTTGTTTGTTGGAGTTTTACTGGCGGTGTATGAAATTCAACAGAACAAGTATGAAATCCAAAAATGAGTTCAGAGAAGTGTGCACCCGACAAGCTCCTCGTATAAAACCTAACTAACTTTGCTGAATTCAAAATCTTCAACCTATAGCAGTACATCTTCAGAAGTTATGACGCGTCTATACTTATATAGTAGCGACACATTTTGAAGCTCTCAAAACCATACAGTTACCGAACGTTTAGCATATGATGCAGTCGTTCAATTATAGATACTCGAACCTGTGTCTGACTGTTAACGATTCAAGGTATAGGTATTATGGGAAATGATTGAACACGATTGGTTAAAAAAAAACTGATAAACGCGGCTATTAGCCCGACACTACAATCCAGCGCCTATCACAGCCACTCTGAGCAGCATTGATGGACCTCACGCCACCTGAAGCTGTGACTGCGCCAAAGACCTCAGTGTGCTTCGATCGGCATCAGATGACCGCTTCAGCAAAAAGCGGCGGTAAAAGAGTTTTGCTGTAACGTTATCATGCTATCGGGACCTGCACTTTGGGGTTAGATATATATGCTAATATTGAAGGTCGGGGTTTGCTAATAAAGAAGTAGCATTTGGATAACTAATGAGAAGTCCCGATGCACAAAGAGACGCTTCCATATAGTGTGCAGTCAGCAAAATAGTTATTTTTGGGTAAAAGACACGGCTGATTGTTTCTGTATTATTATGTTTGATTGGATGCATCATTGGCTTCTATTAAACACCATTTAGTGGTTACGATTTCTAGTCAGACAAAAGCCAACCAAACCGCAAACATCGCTCAGCACTTTCACCGATTGGCACAGCGTTTCACGTCTTAATTGTCCGAAATGACCTTTGCGGCAAGGCAGTTTCGGAATCAGCCCATCGCGCGGCACCTGGCAGTGGCAGCGGGTCGCTGCATGCTCATTGCTCAGTGCTTTAGGAATATGCATGAATCGGAAACTGGGTGGAGTGGAAAATACCACCGGGTGGCACTTTTAAGCCGACAAAATCGACCAGCCTAGTGTTAGCCTTCCGTCCTTCCCTGACGATCCTGTCCAGATAGTGCGATGGCCCCTGAAGCTGATCAGCAGGCACCGAATCAGACCGGGCGCTGACGAGCGGTGACATTTGGACGGGTGGGTGTGCGACGGCACGTGCCACCCACCTTATCCAGCGAGTTCATCGCCCAGTAGGCGGACGACAGAGCCGAGAAGACGCTCCCCCGCAGCTTCAGGCTGCAGGTGCCGATCTTGAGCGCCGACTCGAGCACCACCACGGCGGCACTGTACTTGCCGGCGGCCAGCAGCTCCTGGCCGATGACGGAGATGATGACGAACGGCGACATGTCGAGCCGCATCGCCTGCAGCTGCCGGTAGGTCGGCTCCAGGGTCGCTGCCGGTCACAGAGGAGGACAGGGTCAGGCTCGGCTGACGGTCGTACGCTCACAACTGCAGCCATGAGAAAAGCAGTTAAAGTGAGGCCATATAGAAATACCAATGAATGTTGTCCGAAAAAAATGAGCAAGAAACACGATTGATTCATGACTGTAGGTGAAACGCAATGGTGCGATATTGGCAGGTTTAACGTTCCTGATACATAGCTTTTACGAAAGTTAGAGCTTGAAAGGAATGTCGGGTCAATCACTTTATCTTCCGTTCGACAGGGTCAAGGCATTAGCTCGTCAAATGTGTCAGAAATTTCTGGATGAACAGCTTTTAGAGGCAAGGTCAGCCGGCGTCCGCAGCTGCCTCGATGAATTTCCCTATACGGCACTGTGCTGTGACCGATGTAATTTTAATTGATCGCCCTCCATCGGGCGTCCCAGCCGCGCCATGATTTACACAACTGATGTGTGATTTACCGTGATCGATTCAAGCCATGTGCGCCAATCGACCTGGAAGCAGGCCCACTAGCAAGGACGAGGTGTAAATTTCGAAAATGGGTCATTAAAATCCCATCAGAGGCCAAGCTTGTCGGTTTCTCACAAGGAGATAAGGCGGCTACGGGCACTTTCACGTAATGGGCGGCCTTTTGGCCTGTAAAATGACGGTTGACAAGCGCAGCCGAACGAGAACAAGGTGGTCCGCAGTAAGTGGCAGCGTCGGCATGTCTGGAGAAAGGGAGAGTCACCCGGACTGCTGACTCAGGGGTCAGACGACAAGGCTGGCACGACGCCCGCCGAGGATATTCGCTCTTTGTAAAATAAGAAAATGACGGGACACTTGGCATAATCGTATTTTGGTCGACATCGTGACCACTCACGTATGATGTAGGAGTGACAAAGTGAGAACAGTCTGCATTTCTACTAGTTTTACTGACTGATGGCAATGTAATGACGGTCGGGTTCCACTTCATTCTTCTTCAATATTGCCAGTAACAGAGCAAATACGAGAAAAAAACGCTTTGACGCCGTTTCTCCTTGTGTCTGGGTGTATGAATCCATTGCAGTTATAAAGTGGTGTGTGAAGGTCACCAGTTCACCTGCTTCGTCGTACCCCTGCAGAATTGTGCACCATGAGACGGGCCTTCAACGATTATCTGATCTGATGCGAACCACTATGGCGTCATATTCCGTCCTCGAAACCACCCCTCGTTCAAACCGGGCACACTTGCACAACAATGACGTTACAGGAACTTCAGTCGAGTACATACTCCTCGACGCAGCAACCGATCATCCATTTATCGTGATCATAGCTACTGATATGTAAAATCGCAAAACTACAGTTTTTTGTCGTCTTATTGCAGAAGTTTGAACGCAAACAAGAAACTAACATTCTTCTGATGAACAATGAATGTAACCATATGAGCATGCGTCCGCTGCAGCGTCCCCGATGGACTCCCGTGGCGTCCCCTTCACACGCACTCCCGGACATCGCCACGCCCGTCATCTCCCGCGCGGCCTTCCCAGTCTCCCGGCCGCCGGCGCCCGAGCATTGTCATCGCATACAATGCAATTACCCGCTCGGGAAAAACGGGTAATGCTCTTTTGATGGGTGTTGTGTCAGCACGGCGATAATGGCCGTCGGCCGCCGGTCGCGCCGCTGCAGGCAGGCGCGTTCATATGTAAATGGCCGCCGCGGATGGGCCGTCGTGCCGCGCGCTGCGCCCGGGGGTGCCGCAGCGGCGGCGAGGACGGCCGCCGAGCCGACGTGTCCTGCCCACGGCGCCAGTGACAGCACCCGGGACCGGCCATGTCGGCGGAGCACGCGGCGCCCACGGTCCGACAGTCACGGAACGCCAATGAGCGGCTCCGGCCTGGCGATCGGCGACGGGCCGCTCCTCAAAGGACGGCTCAGTGGGCCCGCCGAACAGAACACTTCCCGATTCCGAGGGTAATTTTAGCAGCTCCGGCTGAAGCGAGTCCACTAATACTCAGCTTACTTCAATAAAAACACACGATTTAAAATTTGCATGTAATGGGACTTCCAGGGATTAAATTTCCCAAATACCTTTCGCGATCAACAACTTCCTTGATATGACAGCCTAACCGCTACCAGGCAGTCGTGAGCAGTATGGCGGCCTGCCCGTGCAGCTTTGGGCGGCGGCTCGGCCCGGTCCGTCCTCGGCGGCCTGCCAAAGGACCGCGCACGGCACGCTACCGTGTCACGAGCACCAGCCGACGCTGCCCGTGCCCGCCCGACCGGCCGGCCGGCCGCGCTGAGCCGAGCGAGGCCGGACCGACTGGCGAACGGCTCGCAGCGGCGTCTGCCACGGAGCAGGTCGGCTCACGGCGGCGTCTGCCTGGGGTCGGCCGGCCGGCGGCGCCCTGTGATTGAGCCGGCCGACACCGGCGTCCCTGTGATGGAGCCGCCCGAAAACAGCTACGGGGCCTGTGGCGGTGCCGGCGCCCACCGACAAACAGGGCTCCGGACGGCCAGCGGCTCCGCCTTGGCGATGCCGACCGGAGATTGGTTTGAAGTGAGCTTAGCGACGATATTATCCCCTCTGCCGTGCCCTACACTGTTGTAAGGTAGTAGGTACAGTCGTGTACAGGTTGATGGTCCCCTATTGTATTACACATCATGAAGCACTTCCACACAGTTATGTGGCTATTCCGTGCCCCGTTGTCAATATGATTAAACGAATGATCATTGTGGTCATCACAAGCACGCACACGAGCACACACAATCACACACACGCATACATGCACGCTTTGCAGTCATACACAGGTAAGATATGCAAGCTCAAATGACCAGCCAGATTCTCTACATTTCTAGCCTATTCCACTCCGTTGCCTCCCTAGCAGATGTAGCCGCAGCTCCTTTTTAAACTGGGCTCCTGTTCGACATCGTATCGCGGCTGGCAAATCGTTGTATGCGACTACAATATGGTACAGGAAGCGGCGCCTGCCCGACTCGGACCGAATCGCCGGCGTGATAAGGTGGTCGGCGTTACGGGTGATACGCTGGTGGACGTCCCTGCGTGTGACCAGGCCACCAGCAATACATTCGGGTTGCGATGACAGCAGCATCCGTTTCAGCAGGGCGAGGCCGTGATAGAGGTACATGTTCTCGGCAGTAAGCCAGTCCAGTTGATAAAGTACATCGCTAATGTGCGCAGATTTCCTCCGTCCCGATAAAACGCGTGCGGCAAAGTTTAACACTTTTTGAATACGCTTCATCTGACTGCTGCCGCACACACCATAAACCACCAGACAGTATAAAAGGCGTGAGATGCCTAGGCCCTGAATGAGTGTCAGCAGGGTGGACTGAGGCAGACTGTGCCTGCTGTGGCTCAGTCCGCACAACATTCCGGTACATCGCTGCACTACATTGTCCACATGAGGGGTAAAAGTCATGTGCTGGTCAAATGTGACACCCAGGTTGAGGACAGTGGCGGAAGCGGCGACATCGGCATCCATGAATTTAATGTTGACTGGTCCGAGACGTTGAATATTTTGACGCGAGCCAAGAATGATAAACTGTGTTTTCTGTGCATTGATTTTGATGCCATTTTTGCTGAACCACCGAGAGAGCAAAGCCAGGTTGTGTTCCATTTGCTGCACCAGGGAGCCGATGTCGCCGATCCCACCAGAGACCGCCACCTGAGTGTCGTCCGCATATTGCACCACGTGCGCGCCGTCCGTGTACAGAGGTAAATCGTTCGCGTAAATCGAGAATAGCAGAGGCCCGAGCGCGGAACCCTGATACGTACCAATGTGGTTCGGAAGCACAGCTGACGTCACGCTTCCACCCAAGTTATCCTGTATTTGAACTTGCTGGTAGTGGCCGTCGAGATAACTAGTGAACCAGCGTGTATCTACCCCATAGAGTTCAAGTTTTCGGAGCAAAGAGTCATGCGGTATTACATCAAAGCACTTCGAACAGTCGAGGAGGCACAAAAGCGTGATTTTGCTGCGGTCCATGGCAGTAAACACATGGTCGGTAACAGATAAAAGTGCTGTGTCAGTCGAATGGTAGGACCTGAAACCATGCTGATTTGACGAGAACAGGTGATGAGCCGTGAAGAAGTAAAACAGTTGCTCGTAGACAACACGTTCGACTATCTTTGCTATTGTGGGTAAGATAGAGATGGGCCGGTAGTTAGTTGTGTCTGTGGACTTGGACGACTTTTGAATCGGATGAACGAGAGCTAGTTTCCATGAGCCTGGAACATGTTGTGACACGAGGCTACTGTTGACTATATGTGTAAGAACATGACAAAGTGATGGCAGACCTATCTTGATAAAACGTATACAAAGTCCGTCGGCGCCACACGCAGCAGAGTTACGCATCCGGGAGATAACACGGCACAGGTCGTCTGGCGAGATGGGCGCCACCTGGAACCGGCCGGTGGCCACCCGAGGTAGGCGGACCGGCAGCTCTGGCCCGGACGTGTCCACCTGACGGGCCGTATCGGGACCAACACTCACAAAGTAGCGGTTGAGCGCGTCTGCGTCCGCGCTGGGGGTGGATCGTGTCGGCCGTTTCGACCCGATGACAGGCCGGACCACGCGCCACATACCGCTCGGTCCCGCCTCACGCAGCCGCCGATCCAGCTCCTCACGGGCATGGGCGGCGCCACCGGGGGGGACGGGGGGGACAGGTCCCCCGCTATCGAAAGTTAGGGGGGTACAGTACCCCCCTATCGGCGAGGCCCGTTCAATAGTTGATAATAATGCATTGTAGAGTTATCCGTCGCATTTAATGCATCGTTGGTTAATCAAGGCAGATTCTGAGTAAAGATTGCTGTTGGGATGTATCGCAGGGGGTCCTGGTCATCTGCAAAAGGTGCATGGAGCTGTGATGCCTGTAGTTATAAGGTGATCGGCAGCCGGCAGGGCCTCGGGGATCGTGCCCCCCCCCCTTCTTGGGGCGCCAGGCAGGGTTATTACCTCCCCACCCCACTCCACTGCCAGACCCCATTGCCGACAAAACCAAGTTTACTGAAAT